GTGTGCGTCTGTGTGTGTGTGTGTGCGTCTGGTGGTGTGTGTGTGTGTGTGTGTGTGTCAGATTGGCACAACAACTGAGAGAAAAGCAGGAGGGATTGAATACTTAAACTGAGCACATGAATGTAAACCTTCTGAATCTGAACTCCTTGCACTTTAGTTTTGTTTCTGCCTAAACAGTGTGAATGTGATATTGTTTGTCCATTTTCCGTCTATTGTTGTTTTCTTCCATCCTTCGCTCGGAACACAACTCGTGTGAAACACAAATCTTCTCCTGAGAGATCATTTGACATTTGTTACTTTAGAAATATTGTTTGCTGTTATAAATAAAGATGTCTAACTGTGAACATATGAAACCACTGTTGACGAGGAGATGACTGCTAAAAGTTGCATCTTATAGATCGTGTAGACTTTGTACATTTCCTAAATGTCCTGTGTTCATTACCTGATCCCATCTTGTTTGAATCCTGGTGTTAAGTCTTTTCTGGAGAATTTGAGGATCCTTATCTGCAAAATAAAATACAACAACATTACAAAGTACCACCGACTTCACCTATGAAAATATAGTTCACTATGAGAGCTTTCCTTTATGTATAAATAATAGATTTGACATCATTTCTTTTAAACAATAGTAGGGAAAACAATTGTGCGACAACAGTACCTGTTTTCTGACAGAAGAGATACACCAGAATAAAGGAAATCAAGGAGGTGAGAATAGTAAAGGCTGGAGTGAGCACCATCATCCAGGGCACAACAGGGTTCAAAATGTGTCCACCGGGGTTAGGGCATGAGCTGGAATCTGGAACTAATACATATCTAGATTTACATTTGAATTTTTCTCAGTTTGCCTCAAAATTGAAAGATTTAATTTAGTAGATGAAGCTTTTTTTAATACTGTCAATTAAGATAAATCGATTAGTAAGAACAGCATACTCACTGACATGGATCCTTGTTGAGACATTGCCATGTGTGTAAATATTTGTGAAAGTAATTTGTTCGTTTTTCTCCACCTTAAACTGTTTAGTTCCACAGTAGTAGAGCCCTGCATCGGTCTCAGTGATGTTAACGATCAGCAGGTCATAGGACTCAGAGGAAGAGTTTCTCACAAAGTGGAAACGTAAGTATTTTCTATATGCATAAAGGACAAGAGAAGGCTGGTTCTCATGAGAGCAGTTCCTGTACCACACGATGTATACTCCGGATGATAACTTGCAGTCACAGTAGAGAGTGATGTTGTGTCCTGGTCTGACTGTCATCTCCAACTCTGATCCAGAGGTCCAGTCATGAGTGCATGATACTACTACAGTAAAATGAAAGCAATCACAAAATCAAATGTAAATGTGATGAGTGTGCATTACAACAGAGTAACACAGTGTATCCCACTACACTAAATGCAGATTACTGCTCATTACAGCGCTGACAATGAACGCATTAATTTTATATAACACAATGAATAAAATATATTAAAACTGAATGAGTCTACCAAGTATTACCTAGCAGAATGACCAGAACAATACGGAGCCCTTCCATCTGTGATGATGACCTGATGAAGAAAAACATGAAAGGTCTTACTGCTGGATGTACTGACCTGCCCAGACTTTTCTATTTAAGGACATGTCAGTTGTGATTGGCACGTTGAACTGAACACATTTGTTTGCGCTGGAAGTGGCCCAGTGTGAAAGTCACACGTTTGACACAGAGATGGGGGTTCAAAACCCGCTTGGGGTATAGATTGTGAGTGATTATTATACGTGTGTGTGGTTTCAATTGTCTGCTCTAAAAACAAACAAAAACATTATTTTAAACACTGCTATCCCAAAAGCAGTTTTTGGAGATTTTTGCAAAAGAAAAACATTGTCCAACAAGGAGGAAAGAGGGAAGATGTGTTTAAAATGGGTCAGATCTCTCCTTCTGATGTAATGAACCACATAACCTCTCTGAGCTGCCCTAACTCTTCTCTATAGATAAAGAGTATTGATAAATATAAACATAAGTAGAAGAAGCATTTTTTTTTTTTAACAAATAATGTTCTATCCAAAAATGCCACAAGATGTTATTCAGACTCAACAGTGCAGATGAACTTCTTGAATATGACTTTGTATGAAACCACTCTCTGCATCTGTCTGCAACCAATGGCCCTGTTGCACAGTGCAACCAGAGCTCGTGTTATCTGATCTCACAGTTATGATGCGTTCACTGATTAATTCCAACAACACCTTCAGCAGGTCATTATCTGCAGCTTCAGTCTCTGCATGCTGAGCGAGTGAGGGGATGTTTGTCACTGTGGGTTTCCTGTAAAGCTTACTTTGAAGTGTCTCAGACCACTGGTGAAGGGTGGGGGCCGATAGCCATTTCAGATAAAACTGGAAATTGTCCGACAATAAAAGTTGTGTCTTGTTGCAGAGCAATACTTATAAAACACCATTATGAAATGTTAGCAATTACTTTCAGTCAAGAATTGAGCTAGAAGTTTAAATGTATTTAATAACAACAAACAGGAAATACAATTACACATGGAGGTTGATCTGCACATCTGATCAAGTGTAACTTGTTATTGGAGTTGTGGAAAGAAATAAAACAAACTGAAACAAAAAAGTCGAATTAAAAACATAAAGAGAAGGTAAATACCAATTCTTTCCAAATGGATTTGTAATTAATAAATCAAAAATAATTACCCAAGAGAACATATATGAAAATGTGCAGCCCGTCCATGTGTGATGATGACCAAGAGTTAGAGCAAAGCGAAACAGTGTCATGTCCCACGCAGACTTTTCCATTAAAGGAAGTATAGATGGTGATTGGCAGGTTGAGTGGAACATTTTTTTCTGATCTTGTTTTCTATTGGTTTGATGCGATCACTAGAGGAGATATAGTCCTAAAAAGGATTAACCTCAGCGTCTAACTGAGATGTAGCCATTTACACGATAGATTACAGCCTAAAAAAACTTGCAGTAGTACCTTACACAAAGGACGTACACTGTATATTTGAATATTTCAGAGTTATAGACTTGGACATAATGATGCACAATTGCTACAAGTTGAACATCCTCCAATAGGACTAAAGTAAAGGATCAAATGCATGTCTTTACTGTGTACAGTAACAAAAGACTGCCTCATTTGTTACTATACTGTAACTTCTAACAGAGGGCATGGATCCCTATGCTTTCTCCCTGCTTAAATAAAACAAACGCGTCAAATGGATCATATTAAGTAGATCCTGCTCTAAGAAATGTGTTGAATCCCCCATTAACCCCTTTAACTTAATGGACCAGGAATCAAGACTTTATTTTGTTTATTCTTCAAAGTTCACAATTTGGACATGTTTCATCATCAGACCTCAACAATATGTACAATACAGGAGCGTTGAATTCGTAAAAACAACTTAAGTGAGTAGCCCAGAGTGTGCAGAGACCTTGCACATAAGCTGTGATCTGCTTGGCTACCACTGTTGTTCTGTTCTTATGGAAACACTCCGCTCGCCTTCCATAATGTCACCTGGTCAAAGAGTAAAGTAATCATCATACTGTAGCTGCTGCTTTGGCTACAGCTAACAGGAATAAAAGCACAAAAAATCATTGGCTCACAGATCGTGTTATTAATTAAAGAAATGTAGGCTCATATTTGAATATAAATACTATACCAACCAGCAATGTGTATAGGTTTGGTGCAGTGTTACAAGTTTGTTTTGAGCTGGCTTGGCTGAGAGTTAGACCGTTATTGACTGCTTAAGCAATAGCTCACGACAGGCCGTGGTATATGGCCATTATATCACAGTTAAGGGGTGTGGTTCGGCCCGACGCGAAGCGGAGGGTCGACAACCCCCTAACCCCCAACCCCCTACTTTGTTGAGCTCATAGGATTTGATTTCTTTTTAATTCCCTTATAATAATTGGCACCTTCTTGAGTTCTTGAGTAGATAAAGGGGTAATAACATCATTGGGGTCATCAGGTGGGCACCCTCTTTCCTCAGTGTTTCGTTGATAGGCCCACAACATCTCCAGAGGGCTCAACGGTTTCACCTGGCGTCCCAGGTGAGCCCACCCACACCGCTTTTACCCCTTCTGCTGGTTACTTTGCAGCCCAGATGGAATCTCTCCTTTTCAGCCACAGCCAGTTGCTACTTTGGTCAGCCGCTTCTCCCAGTGACTTGATGGCCTGTCGGAGTGCCTGCCCCTCGGACCCCCATGCTTTGAAGAAGCCTAGTGGTTTATCTGGCTACAAAGCCTCTGCAGCCGTCCTCCACTGGGAGAACCTGTGTTTTCCATCCCCGCTGTACTGCCTCGGCTGCTATATCCGAGTACTTTAAAAGCTTCATCGACTGCATTCTCCCATTGTTCAGTTCATTAAATGATGTACAAGGACTTTGGTGAGGTTGACCACATGATAGAATTGGAGGGATGAAACCCTCTTTAATGGTCACACATGCAGAGCACACAGCACACACAGTGACATTTGTTCTCTGCTTTTTACCCATCCTAGTACCAGGAGCAGTGATCAAATCTGGCCTGAGATTGGTTGTGATGATCTCTGCCCGGTAGGTGAGCTTCTGATCTAGGTCAACTTGCATATCCCAGCTAATGTAGTATAACACATAACTTCTCTTTTCTGCCCTAACCCTTCTCCAGTAGAAGTCAGAAAAGTTTCACCTGCAGCCGGTGAGGCTAAAGTTCACAATCAGCATCCCCTCATCCTTCTCTGTTTTTCCAAGCATAACCTGTTTTGCAATATTCCCAGCCTCATTATTTCAATGTACTGTAGGTGTGTATAAAGATAAATCAATACTTGATAACTATGAGTTACCTTTGAATAAGTCAAAGGTAATTAAGTGAAAATACTATTTTGCAACAGAAAATCTTCCATCCGAAAATGCCACAAGATGTTATTCAGACTCAACAATGCAGATAAACATCATATCTTAAATATGACGTTGTATGAAACCACACTCTGCATCTGTCTGCAAACGATGCCCTGTTGCAAAGTGCAACCAGAGCTCGTCTTATTTGATCTCACACAGTTATGATGTGGTCACTGATATGACAGATTAAAAAATAAACTGTACTTCTAAACATAGCTGAGGTTGATGAAGTTATACATACATAACAACATCTAAGAAACTGACCTCTGACTCAAGATTGTGGAGACTTTTATCATGTGAACAAAATCTACCACTTTTCAGAATAAACTTAAACATTGATCAAAAAACTAAACTCAATTCCACCAACACCTTTAGCAGGTCACTATCTGCAGCTTCAGTCTGTCTGCATGCTGAGCGAGTGAGGGGATGTTTGTCACTGTGGGTTTCCTGTAAAGCTTACTTTGAATTGTGTCAGACCACTGGTGAAGGGTACGTGGGGGCTGAAAACAGCTTTGGTGTCTTGTTGCAGGGATGAATCATAAACGCCATTATGGAATGTAACTGATCGATTTCAGTCAAAGATGTGGACTGAAAGATGAACTGTACAACAACTCACATTTAAAATGCTTATTACAAAGTATAAAAAAGTTAGGCATTGAGGCTCCACTATTATCACTCTACAAGACATTTTTACAAAGAGTGCCTTATTAAATAACAGAATCACCAGAGCCTACAGGTGGATGCTGGGGCAGAACAAAAGCAGCATGTGGTGCAGAAGTAGAGCAGAGAGAGATGGCAAGTCTGGCAGCTTAAAAAGAGCACCAGATTTAGGAGAACGTGTTTGGTTGGTGGTGAGTGCAGGCCACGTCATGTTCATGTATCATTGTAGCTCAGGTTGATGGCCTGAACTAGGTCGCAGGCTTCACTCACGTATTTTACAACAACAATGGAGATCAATGTGCTGCCAAAGGGAAATAATTGAATGGAAACTAAATAAATATCAGTAGGTGTTTATGTTTTTGTTAATGGTCACATTAGATTGCAAAGTAATGCTGATTTTATTGTTTTATTTCATTTTGGAAATGTGTTATTGTAATTGTAATTATGATGTAAAGTTCCAGCTGCTTTAGGGAATCAGTTCAAAACCAAGATGGTACATTGTGTCTCGTTCAGAATCTTCGGAACAGCTTGTTGTCTTCCTCATCCAGCGCTCTTTTGGTTTATTACTTCACATCTTACTCCATCAGCATTCTGAACAATTACAGACACATTTGAATAACCCTTACACAAAAGTTATTGTTACCATCTACAGTACCATGCTGTACTGTACTGTATGCTGCAGCTACAGTAGCTTTTAGAATGTTTTAAGTGGTGTCAGGAAATTAGAAATAGAGTAATTTAGAGAGTACATATAGAGAACTTTGCAACGTATAAACTTTACAATTAAACTACTACAAATGGGGCGAAGCCTCCGAGCTCGTTCAGGCAGTCAACTAAAGCACCAATGATACATTTAAAACGTGACGTGCCTTGTCCCTCTTACAACCAACAAACACGTTCTCCTAAACCTATATAACTCAGATTTGCCCTTGCGCAAGGCACCGGACACTGCTCCACCACCACCCCAGCTTCCACCCCAGCACCCACCTGTAGGCTCAGGGGATAGTTATCTAATCATCACTCAATGTGCTATGTTAGTCTGTGGAGTGATGAGGCCCGGGCCTAGACACCAAAGTCAAACTATATGCTGCTTCTAATAAACATATCAAAGAAACACGTGGGTTTTCTGACTGAAATTTATTTAATTCACATTTTCTTACTCATCAGTCATAGATTCTGCTTTGTGCTGTTGTTCAAACTCTTTACATCCTAGAAGTGTTGATGGCAGAATAGGTGCTGAAGTCAGAACTCTGGGTTGTCGTCCTCTTTGGTCTATGTGACGCCGGGCGAATTTCCAGTGCAGCATAACACACATCTTCATCCTTAAATGTTACATTTGTTGTTTAGAATTATAATCATTTTCAGATTTATTGTCATGATTATATTTTACTGTTTCTCCTACCTGATTTTGTCTTGTTTGAGGTGTTTGCTGATCAGTTTGAAGTTCTTTAGCTGCAGAATTCAATACGTCATCATTACAGCATGGTACACTCACACAGTATCAAGAGAAGAGAATCATTGTCAATGAATTATCACAGATATGTCTGACATTACAAGTTAAACTTTAAAAGTGAGATAAACATTAGTTACCTTCTTTCTTACAGAGGTGGTACACCAGGAGAGAGGAGAGGAGAGAGGACAGAGCAGCAACAGCTGGACACAGAGAGAACAGCAGCATCCAGCACACACCATTGCAGTCTCGCATTACACCACAGTTTTGTGAAGTCTCATTGTGATCAGGCTCACTGGAGTCTAAAACAAAAAGTTTTGTCGATTAGCTTAATCCAGGGGTGTCCACATTTGGCCCCCGGCCATTTTGAATCAGCCCTCAGCTAATTAAAAAAAATATAATGCAGTATGGCCCTCAAATGAAACTTGTGCTTGTCTTGTATTGTACTTATTTTAACTCATTCCAGCAAATGCAATGTATGAATCAATATTGCTTGAGCCTGAAATGTAGAATCATCCCAAAGCTCACCATGCACAAAAATAAAGAATAAATACATATGGATGAAACATGCAGCCCCAGAATTAAGAACATTATTTGTAACAATGTTTACAGTATTTCAGTACTGTACCATGAACATTAAGTCAATTGATTCCATACACTTCACTCACACATATATCTTGCAGGTACAAAACTGGAACAGCACACTTACTTAATCGGATTCTTGTTGAGACGTTGCCATTTGTGTAAAGATGTCTGCGAATAATTTGTTTTTCACTCGCCACATCAAACTTTACAGTTCCACAGTAGTAGAGCCCTTCATCGGTCTCAGTGGTGTTAATGATCAGCAGGTCATAGGACTCGGAGGAATAGTTTCTCACAAAGTAGAAACGAGG